GGTCCCCAGTCTTAGGAATCTTTTATTTTGATTCGGAACAACAGAGAATTATGCAAATAATAACCATAAAATTATGGGGTGCTATGCATGCATCAATTATGTCAATCTGATTTTGAGAACTGTGACAGAATCATCCACGATAGCAATCATCAGGCACGAACAAGCAAGAAGCGAGACCGACTGACTCGAGCAAAGGCAAGATCAAATGAATGAAGGATGAATGAGAACTCATAATAATCTCAGAAGGTACACACAAACAAGCATGGTCAACACCTCTCAAGAGTCCTCACTCATCCCTCTGGTCAGTCTCTCTCAATCTCTCTTTTCACTGTTCATCTCTGGTGCTGTGACCCACGCCCATGTACAGTTTGAGATTGAGGCCTCGTGACAAAGAGCCACCTGAAGCCAGCAAACTCTGAGCATGACCATCCGAGGTACATGACACGGAAGTTAACCATGGAGAAAAACTCCTCCCACAATGTAGGTAGTCCGTCCACTGAAAAGACTCCTCGTCTGAGGTAGGGATACTCGGTGGGCTCAGTCAGTGCCTCAATGTCGATCACCGCTGGAGAGATATACCTCTTTGCCAAGCCGATCATATCAAGCCAACTCGTGCCATCTGTGAGGAGGGAAGGAATATGAGGCCTGGGATAGTCAGTATAAAGCTTTGGCCCAAAGCTACGGATCAGCGTAGTGCCACTCTCATCGAGCTCCCTCTCTCTCTGCTCAAGGTATTTGGTGGCTGAGATCCAGATTGGATCGAAATGCTCATGAGCCTCCTTGCCCTTCTTCAGGTATGGCCTCGGATCGTGGATAGTGCCATCAGCAAAACTGGTCTGGACAACGAAGATTGACAGATCTTCTTGTCTAAAACCGATGGCACTAGCATACTGATAGCGGAATGCTTGAAATCTGATTGAGATTGGCCAGCACTAACTTGCTGACTTGAAAGGATTCAACTGTACTCATGGATGAACTAGTCGGTGCAGACTAGATGTTCACTGAGAACTGATTACTGAGAACTGATTACTGAGCTCTGATTATCGATAGTGGATCGCTGATCTGACTGCGTTTTCCGATTACTTGCTGGTCTGATTATTGAATTGAACACCTCCTCTGAATGCTGGTTGGGATGCTGATTGGATGTAGGATGATTGTTGTTTGATTGCCTACTCTGAAAAGCGGTTCCAAAGCACTGTTTTAAAGTACCGTTCTGAAAGACTGTTCTGAAAAACTGTTCTGAAAAACTGTTCCGAAATGTTGTTGAGAAATATTGTTCCGAAGTACCATTCTGAAGTACAGTTCTGAAGTTAATTAACCCCTGACCGAGAAACAGGATATCGCTGAATAAATGCTGACTTGGGGAGCTGAGTATTACTGATTAGTCTTCTGGCACCCAAGACTTTGGTTGAACGCTGATAAAATTTTGATTACACACTTGAACAATCTCAGGCCACTCGCTAGCATCGTGATGTGCAGATTGGTAGATGAACGATCACTGTTTGAGGATTGACGGTGTGCGCCGAGTATTGGTCACTGCCAATAGCACTAAGTACTGTACGAAATGTGTATTGGAAGCTCACCAATCAAAAGTTGGTTGATACCCAATTGTACGCTGATTGGTCGATGCCCGGTTGGATTAGCTGACAGTCGTTCACGTGCAAGTTTGAACACTGATTGATTACTGGTCAAACAGGCATCTAATCGCAGATTAAGAATTTTTCCTTTCACCGCTGACTCCTGGCACCGCTGTTTTACATCAGCACACACTGGGCGCTTTTCACTCTCCTTAGCCTTTACTAGCTAGCATTAACGATCTCCCGGGCTCGCTCAACTGTCTCAGTGGAGGAATAAGTACTGTGAGCTTTCCCATAGGTTCCATAGAAATAGGTGACATACTCAATAAATCTTCTCTCCCCTGCTATTCTGACTGCATGTTCCCTTTGAAGTTGCTTACTAGCGCTCCCATCACGGCATGCGTTACCTTCCCATCCTTCCCCTTTGTCTCTGTTCACCTGACACTTTATCACCAGAACTTCATCACTCGCCGTGATTTTCTCACACTTCCAACCTCGATCACGAGTGGACTGACTGCACTTCGTTATGGTTATCGTCACGAGTTTAGGAGGTTTCCCAAGGGTGCATACGTAAATGTGTAGAGTTGGTAAGTGGGAGTCGAACTCACCCCTCTACGTGTCTGAACCCGAATATGCAGAACCTGCGGATAGCACGTAACTGATCCTGCCCGATGTCATTCGAATTCTGGGCTAGCCCTTCAGACTTCCGCTTGAGTCCACGAGAGGGCCGTTTAAGTTCAACCTGAGTTTTCTGGTTGTTTGAAACTGAGTCGGAATTACTTGAGATTAGCGATCTGAGTCTCATCCGCCTGACAATCAGAGCACAGCTAGCACCGACTTCGTCTGATATTCGCCTGACAATCAGAGCATAGCTAGCATCGACTTCGTCTGATATTTACACGTTAGTTGGCTCCATTCAACCTTCGACATGTAAGATAACACTTCGAGACTTGTCCGGCAAAGTCAGGTAAGGACGAGCTTGATGGGATGAAGTGTACTCTCCCAACGTTATGACCTCGTAGGACTTCAAACATGACCAGGTTGTGTTCAATCTTCAGTTCTAAATACTAGAGTAGTTTCAGAGTGCATGTCATGCTGAGAGATCATACGAGACGGACCCTATTCAGACATAACTCCAAGGTACACGACGCCTCAACCCGCCCGTTGCAGGTCACCCAACAGACTTGCCGCATGAGACTAAGAGTGACTCATCAATTAGTCACCATCCATAAGGAACTTGGCCAATAGATAGACGACTTCCCTTAAGATGCGCTGCCTCTTGCCCATCCGAAAACTTACTCTAATCACGAACTCTACTACTCACCAAAAGCTCGCCAAAGGCATGACAGACCAGTATAAACAGACAAGTCCCCTCTTTGAGCTTGTCCACTCAGTCCGCATTTTGATCCCCTGAAAGATCAAACTCACGGCTGAGGCTCACGTCTGAGCACTGATAGGGACTTAGTGATGATAAAAGAATTAAGTAAATAAACAAGTAAAAAAAAGGTTTTCCCTCTCGAACCACTGCTGGCCAACCCCTTCATTCACCAGGGGGCTTTTAGTACGTCTGTTCAGGCATTCATGGTGATTGCAATTTTCAGTGTCTTCAGTCTTACTTCGCGGTAGTTATCAGTTGACCATTGAAATAACCTAGGGAAGCATTCACATGTTCAGTTGTTTTCTGACCACAAGTGAACTCACACAGCCACAAATAGGTATACGATTAGACGCACACGTGTCAACACTGACAACCATACACTCATGCAGTCGGACGGTATAGCCTTGCAGTGTAGTCACACTATGTGATCGCACGGCATAGTCACGCCGTGTAATCACGCAGCAATGTAGTTACAGAGTATAGTCACGCAGTGCAATCACACTATGTGATCSCATGTCAAWAGTCACACAATATGATCAACGCTGTGCTGTCACACGCAAGATGATAGAAAACGGAAAAGGGTCTGAATTCTTGTTGCATTTGTGATCTCCACTCTGCGGGGCTTAGGCTCTCAAATACAAGGGCAGCACGTCTCTTCAACCTTGCCAAGAGGTCACGTAGCACGCCAAAACAGACAGAACCTGGACATGCAAAACCAAAAATGCTCAATCCCAACCTCACTAAAATCTCGAACTAACCTCCCATACGTTGGACTACGTTCAATGACAGGTACGTTTGAATCGCTATTACGAACTGAAGCTACCCCCTTGTTCGTACACTTACACAGCCTACCGAGAGCTTATTTCTTCATTTGTGCAGCATGATCAATAAATGACGATCAGTCGCACTGATTACCTGATCTGAAAGGAAGACTAGAAATTAGTGAAAACGAAAGGAGAATTGTATCTTGCATGAGTCAGCATCTTATCTGAAATCTTGGCTGAAACAATTACAAAGAAAACACACGGATGACCCTTGATTGCCACCCCCTTATCAGGCTGAAAGTCACCTGAGGATGACATGGTGGTAATCATCAGCGCCTGCCAATGAGTGAGTGAAGCCTTCTTCCTCGCTGATCTTGCTCATCTCAAGACCCCCTTTTGCACGTAGACAGCTGACCCCCTCTCTCACACTGGGTCCACATTCGCCATATGAAACGCGCACGCCGGATTCTCTAACGATTTACCCATAAGAAAAGCAGTAGTAGTGGCCTCTGATCACGTGACAGGCCAGAGCACGCATGCAAACTCTCCCCCACTTCTTCTCTCCGCACGACAACATGAATAATGCTCTCCCCGGTACTCGAGTGAATCACCACATTAGCCCCTCTTGTTGCCATACCCAACATGGCATGTGACTGATACTATTCCCGCCAGTTAAACAGCCGAAGCGCATCATCTGTCGTTCCCTCACACACCCCTGGCAACGTGAAAGAATCAAGAGGGAGCAGACAGCGCGCAAAAAACTGCTCAKGCATCAGTCCGARCTCACACCCRGATTCCTGAAAAACAAGAGACCATTCTCACTTGGCGGCCCACTAGCCTTTTCGTCATAGACTGAAGACCCGTGGCTTGCCCGCCAGTCATGTCTTTCAAGAACGCTTTCCCTTTTCCCATTGCCTAGTCACTCGTGCATCTCGCCGATACTTCTTTCCTCCCACGCAAATGTGCTACGCGTGGGCCGAGTACTCGAGTCACAGCTCCATACTGTGTTAGCTCCAAGGCTACCTCCCTGGCAGAAACGCAATAAGCTCGCACCTCGTTCTCGTGCATAGCCCATTGTATTGACGTCAACCGCCTCTCTTCCCTTTCCACGCGTTGACCCTTCGATCACCTCTTCTCGACCCCCCCTGTCTGTCTCAGCCCCTCTCGCTAACTTCACACACCTTCGACTGTGCCACGTGTACGCATGTAACCGCCTCACAGCTCACACCCCGTTTCTCAGAATGACCATACGCTGACCTCTGGCGCTGCTGCCTCACACACGTCCTTTCCCCCTGTTCTGCTTCTCTCCCATTCCGCGGCCCTTCGGCGTCAGTTGCCTCGAGCTAGCCTCGGGTCCCTCCTCCACCGGCCTCGCGGCTCGGTGATGCCTCTGGATCTCGCCTGGTCTGTTCCAGGACCTGAGGTCCGTCTCCCGATCTGCGTCACTCATCTCACTTTCCCCTCCCGAGTCTGTGTCCTGGTGGACCTGTTCCAGGTCCGCTGTGTCCATCGAGGTCTCAGTCTCTTGGTAAGCCACCGTTATCCGTAGCTTTGCCGTCACTTCGTCCCGTCTACAACGTCTCTCCGCTCGGTCTCTCGCCTCCGAAATCGCGTCCTGCAGCTTCAGGTTAGTCCGCATCTCTCCCTCTCTTGCTCCCTCCACGTTGATCTTCAGTAGCACTTCATCTCCACCGTCGTAATTGAGTATGACGGTAATCCAGGGCCCTTCCCCGGACACGGGCTTCCAACGGGCCTGGTGGTACCAGTACCCGGGCCTGTACCCATGCAATGCCATAGTCACTCGAAATAGCCAAGAACTTAGTCTCCAGGCGCTCGCACAAAGACAGCCCCTTACAGGCCCCGGAGCTCCGCCCTTTCTCTTGTCTCAGACCCGCAGCGCTAGTGCAGCGGAAATACTCTACGACTAGTGTGCGTACATCTAAACTCTTCTCTTTTTTATAGGTTGTAACCCTGTGTTCTTAACGAGAGCGCCGAGTACTTTTCGAACTTCAGCACTCTAATTCCTATAACTCCTATATTTAATAATTTAAAACAACTTCACGAAAAAAAGAAATACGAGACGCCAACGGTCAAACTCATCTCCGCAGGCTGGACACAGTGGTCCCATAACGAATTACCGACGGATCTCCGTTCCTCTTCAAAATGTGTCGTCCGACGACTTCTATCGGGTGCCCGTGTCCGATGGTAAGGAGGGGGCCTATGACCTCCCATAATGGGGGGTGATAAGCCTCCTACCGATGCGGCCGGGGGTCGCCCCTCTTTTGGGGTTCTACCACGCGGCACCTGAACGGACCTCCCAACCATCGGCGCAAGAACGACAGGCCTGGTTAGTCTGGGCCACAAACTGCGGCCGCGTTCAAGATTCGAACCGTTTGGTTTCCCGCGAAGTGACGAAAGGGGAAAAATCAGAAGAAAAACTCTGCAGTCGTGAAAAAGGGAAAACTCTAAATAATAATAATAACTACATTAGGAGGTGGACAGCCGCCGCCGGACTACTCCGGACAAAGGCAACGGCTCTGATCCGCGTGCCGATCAGGCGTTCTATTCTCTTTTCTTCTACTTTCATTTTCTCATTCTCCCTTTACCCCCTTAACGTGGCTACTGGGGTTTAGTGCACAACTAAAATATCCGCACGGGTCCCTATCACGTCTGCACCTTCCCCAGATCATGACCCTGGACCAAGCAGCCCCTTAACTCGAGCAGGCCAAACTATCCGACAGTGACCGCGGCTAGGGAACTAGACCGCCGGCCAGCCCCAAATTAAAGCAGGAGCTTAGAGCTTCCCATAGACTTGTCTGTTGATTTTCTTTCTTTTTATTTTTCTTTTCCCATATTTTCTCTTTCTTTCTTATTTCCTTTTCTTTGGTCCTTTTCAACAGCGGTATCTATCGCACGCACCTAACCCATAACCTAGTTAGAAGGCGTTCGGTGCGCAATAGAAAAGACAGAACCAGCTTGTCTACTTCCGCGTCCCAGGGCGAACCCGACGGCTACCACGGCCACGGGCCGGTAGTGCTCTGCTGTACAGTAGGGCGCCGAGCCCGCATGGACCAATGGAAGTCCTGTGGCGCACCCCTTTTGTCGAGGGCAAGCCTAATCAGGACCGGTCCAGACCGAGGTGCCATCCTGGCATATCAGCATGACCGTATAGGCCCGGCCCCCGCTTGGTGAGCCGCGGTACTTAGAGCAAGGACTAGGTACACAGGAGTCGGAAAACACGCCTACAAGCCACAAAGAGTTGTAGAAGGACCCAGTACCACGCAGGGACCTGGTACACGGAGGTGGGCCAGTACTTCTGGCCCCCTGACAATGGGCCCTTGTTAGGGCCCGGTTCTGTAGTAGGCACGGTTTAGGCCTAGGTACCGAGTCACGACGGTCCCAGATAGGTCCAGGTGGGCCTAGGAAACGTCGGTTCAGTTTAGGGTCCGGTAGGCCTCGTTTAGACCCCACCAGACCCAAGGGCTAGTTGGAGAGGCCAGGTACCGGTCCATCGGTAGGACCGGCCGACGGCGTAGTTTAGGCGCCAGTGATTCAGATTTCGAAATTGGCTCTGGACCGTTGGGCCGGATCAACGTTCCAGACCCGAAGGCACTCAGTAGGCCTGAGGCTGACCCAACACTACATAAGCTGGGTACCAGCCTCAATCAGGTAGGTTAGTAGAGACAGGAGGTTAGTCTACGCGTTAGTCTTCAGGATTAGAGCAGCGCTTCAGCGTTAGCAGGATTAGCGCAACGCGGCAGCATTAGCATGAGCAGCGAGGAGAGAACGAGCACAACGGCGAGGAGGAATCAGCGCAGCAGTTGGAACAGCGCCAGCCAGCGGCCCAGCCCGCGGCCCAGCACCAGCCTTCTGCAGCGCCATAGCTATCGGATCAGGTATCAGGGAGAAAGGCCTTGCCTTCTCTCCCTCTTCTTCCTCCGCCACTCTCTCTCTCTCCCTCTCTCTCTCTCTCTCTCTCTCTCTCTCTCTCTCTCTCTCTCTCTCTCTCTCTCTCTCTCTCTCTTTATACACATCTCGAGTGGACTGACTGCACTTCGTTATGGTTATCGTCACGAGTTTAGGAGGTTTCCCAAGGGTGCATACGTAAATGTGTAGAGTTGGTAAGTGGGA